CCCCCCCCCCTTCTGAACTCAAATTCGAAATAAGCACCCTTAGCGCTAATTCAAGGATTTACGGTAAGACTTGTCCAGTAAATAAAAGGTAAAGAGTGCTATTAAAAATACAAGAAAACTTTGAAATCATAGTTTAAATGATAGACATGCAGCATCAATCACCAAACATGGTCAATAGTCAAGACAATTAACGAGGGTTGCAAAAAGCGTCAATCTCAGAGATAAATTCAAGTTTCTTAAAAACTTTGAGATTGTAGTTCACCTTCACCAAAATAAGCAGAATTGGGTCACTCAAGGTTGTCCTCAAGGTTGCTTAACAACTTACTTGCAGAGCTGACACTGTGTAAATGTTTGCATGGCGGCCGCCTAACTGTGTGTCAACACCTACCGGGACAGGAAATACGTGAAAAAAAAACACGTCTTTTCAGTCACCCAGTATCTTTACGGAATTCGAACGTGCAACTTCACCGATTTTTTTAGAACATGAGCAGCACTAATCATCCAGTTTGACAGTTTAAGTAATTTGATCGCATTACGTCACATGCAGACGTGATTTCACGATGTTCCTACGACTATATGAAGCAGTACCTCTCAGCTCCTCGAAGCAATTCTAAGGTCCAGTTTTCCACACCAGATCAGTATGCACTCGACTATTCATCGCGTCATTTTATTCTTGTGCGCCGCTTTACTTTGTACAGCAGGCCCCATTGAAAAAGAAGACACTGCAGTCTTTCTGAGACATCCACAAGAACAGTTTTGCTCAGCTGATTTTGGTAAGTCAAGATGTTTCATAGAAAAAAAAGTTGTCGAATACATGTAAAAAAATAGTTCGTGGCTTGTAGACGAGGCCTTTTGTTTGGGCCGAGGAACTCATCAAATACCTTTCAGAATTTTCAAGTGAATCCGTTGGGCACCGTGCTCAAAGTCTCGAAATGGTAATAGTATGGCTATCTACCACAGACGAACTCCAAACCGCACGTTCCCGAGTTAAATTTATATACACACAGAGAAAAAGAATTGTTGAAATAAACAAGTATCTGTAAATGATTTGATAGCGAAACAACGCACAAAGGGTTCTCCGTCTTAACGAAGTAACGTTGCGATCTTTCAAGGCCAACTTTATTTTTACAACAGGGAAATTTGCCTATAAACAAAATGAAGCTTTGATATAACACTGTTTTAGGCTATAAAAATACAAAACAGATAAGACCAAATCTGTTAAGGATGGCAAAGATTACAAGGATTGTAAATGATGACTTTGAAAAGATGCACAATTCTTTTAAATTTCTTTCTTGATGAATCCTAGTTTGCCCGAGCAATGGGAGTTCGTCAGAAGGGTCAATTTAGTTCACACAATAATTGAGCATGATCTCTCATGTAATCTAAAGCGGATACACGACGAATACGTGATTTTTGAAAAAAGTGTTAAGCGGAGCGTATATTTTCTCGGAAGTATCGCCCTTAAACGTTGCGTATTTTGTTAAGAAACAATATTTAAGATATGCATTTGGAAATTATTATTTACAATTGATGGAAGTAAAATTATTTGTACTCGTTGGAGGCCGGAAACAGTTTTTTACGACTTTAATTTCTGTAATCTTTCGTGACTTGTGCATGGGGGGAAGGAACTTCACAGTACAATAGAAGGTTCGCCCAAAATGACGTCAAAACTAAACCCAGAACAAAAGCTATGAGCCAGACGTTGAGCGCAAATGTGGAGTAAGCATACATTTAGCAGCATATCTTAATCACAACTGTACAATTAGCATTTTTCTTTTAACCCTTTAACTCCTAAGAGTGACTAACATCTAATTTCTCCTTTCAATATTTTGCTCTTGTATCAAACCGTTGAGAAACGTTGATCATTTAACGCTTGATGTCCCTTTCAGCAGGACTGACGTCTTTAAGAATTCTTTTTTTTGTTCGAATCTGTCGCCTGTGGAATAAACTACCCCTTAGTTTAAGGGAGTCAAATACCTTGTCGATCGTTCGTAAGAATTTGATGGCCTTTTATCATGATAAATTAAACGTAGATTTTTTTAGATTTTACACTGTACTTTACTAAATCATTAGTCCACTTATAATAATTTTATTGATTAGCCTTCATGTCGCATGTCTTTTATAACTGACTTGTTACACTAACGACTTTTTAGATAATTTTATTACTTAATTAATTCTGTAGATGTAATAATAAGTGGCCTATTTTTAAGGAGTCTTGTATTCTGTTTTAAGCCTACCTCAGATTTGTCATTTTACTTGTAAATCAGAAACTTGATTAAATATCACCCCTGAATCACACAGTAAGGAAACAAAAACACAGGAAATGATCACCAACTAAACAGGCTCTTGAGTGTTACACAAATTTTCTCTGTCAGCACCTTAGGAAATGTATAGAGAACAGTACTGAGGATATGCATGCTATTGTTAGGATGTAAAGGATGTTCGGAAACTTCACGGTTTATCAGTAAAGTTGCGCATAGATTTTAAGATTCTTCTTATCACATCTAAAATACTTCAAAGCTTAGTTCCAAACTATCGTGAGAATTTAATTTCTATCTTGCCTGTTTCACATTATCAATTTCGTCGCAATAATAATGGCACATTGCTTGAATCTCCACGATTCATAACGGAAAAGACTATGGGGGACCGATCATTTACAGTATTGGGAAGTTCTCTCGGGTAATCCCCAAGGAAGTTTCCGTTGGGTGCGATCAGAGAGTTCTGCAGTAGACAAACGAAGGAAAACGCACAAAGTTTCTATGAGAACAATATGAAGTGTCAATGAGAACTGAAAGACATTCTTTGCTTTGCAGCGGTCCGAGCCGAGGTCTTGCCGAAGAACCAGTCAAGAGAAGAGAACCACAAACAAAGTATATTCGAACACGATCTTAAAATTTATCAAATTTACAAAGGACAGGAGAAATTCCCGGACATCACCATCAACATCACTGCAGATAATGGTTCTTTCGTAAAAGCCTACAGTGTTCACGTTGGGTTTCGAAGCAGCACTGAGTATTTCCTCGCTGGAAGTATCAAGAAAGGGGAAATTCTGCTGAATCAGCGTAGCTGGATTCAACCGTGGAAAGAAGTTACTAGCGAACAGCGTGAGGGAATTGAGAGATTTTACGGTCGAAACTGCGAATGCCATATTACACCGGCTTGCTTTGGAGCAATTGACTGCGTTCAGCCCTTGAAAGGATGCCAGGTCTCCCACGATTATCACACAATGCAACAATTCTACCAGGGCTGCGAATGGCGTTACTCTTACTGTATGAAAAACAGGGAGGCAACCGCATGCTCATGGCAAGAAACCGCTGAGTATAGAAACTGCAGAGACAAAGTTTTACCTTGAAACTGACAGCAAATTAAAGATTAAAAAAAGGTAATTGAGGAACCATCAAAGGTTTCTCGTTGAAAAAGTATAAATATTATCTAACATATGGCCGTCTTGAATCAATATGACTTTTTTTCCACCTACAAAGAATGTTAATCATATGCAGCTTTGCTGATGTTAGCTGTGAGCAAATAATAAATGAAAATGCTGATATTAATAGTAAACACACCAGTAGCTTTCTCGCTCAACACACGAAATGCCTGACAACTGAATAAATTCAAAATTCTACGCAGAAAGTGCGGATTTCATTTAAAAAAAAAAAGCGGGGACAGGAGTTGATTTTTCTCTACCGTGTGTGGTAACCTGGTAAACTCTTCCAGAATTCTCCCCAGATGCCTAAAAACATTTTGACCTTGGTTTATTTACGATTACGCTCGTATTACTCAAAGGCCGCCCCGAGAATTTTCCAGCATTTCCATCAACATTATGATCAAGTTTTCTAGAAACCCAAAACAGTTTCGAACAGTTATGCACCCGGTTTTGTTTTCATTGCAGTCTGGAGTAAATTACGCTGTTTGTTTAGAGTTATATCCGTCTAGACTTTTAATAGTTCATGGTTCAATATTGCGGTCTCACATTTGGAAGATAAGATTTTAATGAGTTCTTCCTACATCATGATGCACGGTCGATGGTCTGGCAAAAGGCATGAAAATTTTCATTTTAATCGATCATAAATTCGTTCCGTTATTAAAAATCGGAATTTGAGACCGTTCATTGGTAGTGTCGACAAGAATTGATCCTCGTTATCGGATTTCTCACGCAATATGGCAGATATTCTAATTTTAAGCTATAAATCCCTTTATTGAAGGATCAGTTTTCAAAAGAATATATATCAAGGATTGAAAAGCCGGAAAATCGTCTTAAAACCATCTATTTTGAAATAGTATTGGAATTGCTATTTTTATTGCTACTTTACCGAGATCTGGTCAAGAGTTTGTTGACATTTGGGTGACTGTCGTCAGCAAAGAAGCATTGAAATCAGCACAATTGAATTCACATGTTGTACTAAGGCTATTTTCTCCTTTAATGGTATTGACAAAAATTCGCACTCATTTTATTCTTTCCTACATTAAAATTGAAATAAATGGACTAATGGGCGTTTTTCTCCCAGTCATCGACGCGGCACACGGCTTTGCGGCGTGGCGCCAAGTACAACATGCTCCAATTTCAGCCAAAAAAATTATGGCTTCATGCTGGTTCAACTTGCTATATAAGTGGCAAGACAATTTTCAGACGCAGTAATTGGTCATTCAGGCCTCGGAGTGTCAGCAGGAGTTTGCGTTCCTCGATTGAGAAATTAGAAAGAGACATGTCTCATCTCTTTTATATCGTTTTGCTACTTGGTGCAGTGAACACAGTTGATGCGTTACCATGTTCTTGCCCCGAGAGACATCCACAAGAGGTTTTTTGTAGTGCACATTTTGGTAAGTAAAGCCCTTATTCTTGAAATGTTTTGAGAACTCGGACATTTTACGAGAGTGATGATTGTTCCTCCTAACTAGTTGAGACTAATAGGATTTAAGGTTTTGATCATCTTGATTGTTCTATGGTTTTCTGGACTCTTCGTGGTCTCTACCTTGGTTTTCATTCGGTTTTATTGACTTGCTTTTCTTCCTCCTGGGTTAACTGTTTCTCCTCTTTTTGAATTTATCTTGGTAACGGTTTTCAGTTTTGTCCAGTTGTTTTTAGTCTTCGTCGAGTCTTTCTATTCAGATGAAAATTTCTATGAGAAACTCTTATGTCCCACGTATAAACTTGATTATCTTGAAAAGTCAATGGTCGAGTTTTGTTAAAACTGCAGTGCTGCGGAGCCCTTTTTTTGCGCCGATTCCCAAGCCTTTCTTCCTCACGGGAGTCCAGACAGCTAAAGTCAACCTATTTTCGGGGGCGACTTCTTCGAGCGGTTGACTCATCAAATTCAAAGTAACGAAAAAAAAGGTACTATTATTGGAAATCTTGAGAATCTTTTGGTAAACCTGTCTCGACTTTAAAAAACGTTTTGTTTTGTTTTTTTATTTTTTTTGCATAGAGAACTGGTAAGACCGTTAGTTCGAAACAAAAATCCTTGGAAAAACGATTTCAAACTTCTTTTATGTACCGCGACCACAAAACTTAAAAAGCCAAGAGCAGTCCTGTAGTTACCCAACTGATTCTTAAAAACCAGGAGCCTTAACATACGAACTGCTTTAGTTTCGAAGTACAACAAAAAAAAACCCCGACAAGGGTTTACGTCATGTCTGGGTTTAAGGGTAAAAACGACATTTTCAAAGACTTATTTCGCAGGCCATATCTGTTTTATTTTGTAACTAGTGTATACGACCATCTGTACTTCTTGCAGCTACATGCACACTTGAAAGAATCCAATAACTTCAGTTTTTAAAAGAAATGATGAAACCTCTAAAGTTATTTTTCAGTTTACGTTATGAAGGTAATAACCTGGGGTGTGTTAGAGCAAATTTTAATCAGTAAGTCTTTACAAGTCGAAAGCACTCGTCATCGATGAAGCTCTTACTTGGCAGAATGACTGCCTTATTTGAACTTTTTCCAAGACTTTTCTTGAGCTTATTAAAGCACGCCCTTTAAATCAATGATATTGTATCCAACAGCGAAATCGGAACTTTTTCTAGGATTTCAATCTTCAAAAGGGACTAATATTTTTTGTTAACCCCAAGCTCGCCACAAAACAAGCCTTCTGCATGTTTTCGACGGAATACCCAATTTCACCTCAAGCTGCATTCGCTTTCAACGTGCAAACTGGTGAATTTTAACAGGAAGGTATTACCAAAACACTAAAAATCAAATGAATAATCACATTGAAACAACAAAAAAACTGTCAAAGATTCGTAAAAACTCTATTACAAACGGGGAATGAGGGCGAATTTTAAATAAATGAGGTCATTGGCCACAACAGCCACCTTCTTTAAGCTTCAGGTTTGGAAACCAAATCAAATCCTTTCCTGTTCACACTTACTTGAGAAAATATTTGCAGGGCTTTTCCAAACAAAGTTAATTTATCGTTTACTATCACATTATTTTTGGCCGGAAAGAGCATTTGTTTAATTAGTGAGGTTAGGTCACATGTTATCCTTAGCAATTCTCTTAATTTCCTCCGTATTAATGTACTCTTAAAAATTCCTGAAGGCATAAATCAACAGAAATTCCACCCAGACAACAAAAGTTGATTTAAGAGCATTGGAGCAAAGTTTTTAATATTGGAATGTCGAAAGTATTCCGGATTAAATCGGAAAAAATAAATGTCTATGCTCCGTTATTCGAAAAGGAAACTCG